GTTCAAGAAGAAAGAAAATGTTTTGAAACTGATGGTGGCAGCAATTGTCCAATTATGCTTGATCTAATTGAATTATGGACTGGTGTAATACCTGTAAGAGCTCCCAATAAAATGATTTAAAAATTTTTTTTTAAATCCATGCATCAACTGTATCGAGAATATTTGTACATATGTTGCCGTCATTATTTTCTAAACATTTACTTTCTTTTGGGCCCCTTGGTATCAGCTCCTCTTTTTACCCTACCCTCTCCTCCCGGCCCTCATGACCCCTCAATAAATTATAAATCATTATTTTCATATCTTACACCAACCACAAATGACAAATTTTTTAAAGTACCAATTTATGTTTTCAATGTCTGTATTCTTTTTCTGTGTAGTTCAGCCAGCTCAGTCCAGCAGAACAAAAAGTAGCTGCTCTTGTGGGAGTCTCCGAAAGCTTTATTGGGAAGAAAGCTTCTGGTCAAGCAATCAGGAAGGTACCGTTGTTCAACAAAATTTGTGACACTTTATTACCTCCTTTGTTGAGCTGATCTTTTTTTTTTTCACGTGTTTTTCTTTAAGTTAATATGATTCCCATTTTGCTATTTAAAACATGGCTGAGCAACAGAAAATCTATCATTTTTTAAAAGGATCAGTCATTTCTGAAGGGTATGATGAGGTATGTGGGTGATTTGGGTGAAGTTTATGGAGCACATTGGTTTTCCAATCGACAGTTCATATGCATTCAGTCTGATGACACTGATTGCAATAATCCTGAATAAGTTCAACCCAAGGGAAATACAGTATTTTCCAGAAAGTTTGTACTTGGCATTGTATTTGGTACCAGGGACTCTAAAATAGAAAGAGATTTGCTGGTTTGTTTGTTTTGTTTTTCCCTCAGAGTATTCTCTAGTACTTAAAATATACGAAAGCAGTCTATAAAAGTTGAACTAGAAAAATGAAACTTTTTGATATAATATCTTTTTTCCCTTTTTTTAAATCATTGTATTGGGAGCTCATACAACTTTTATCACAATCCATACATCCATCCATTGTATGTCATGCACATTTGTTGCCTTCATCATTCTCAAAACATTTGCTTTCTACTTGAGCCCTTGGTATCAGCTCCTCATTTTACCCCCTCCCTCCCAGATGCCCTC